CATCCAAAATATCGTTTATATAAATAATTGAATCCATAATTCAATTCAAAAACACATTTAAAACTAATTCACAATTAATTTGAATACAAATTAAGTGCAAAACTAAACAACAATTGAATCACAAAAACATAAACACATCAAACCATTTGTAACTCAAAGGGATTGTCTGTAAATTACGTAAACATTTTCAATAGCTATTCAATACTTTATTAATTATTACCGGAATTAACAAACAATTTAATCAAAATGATTAAAACAATTATTTATAATTATATAATTATACTGTTTTATTGTATATCAACACCAAATATCAAGTGTTAACATTAAATTAATATAAATGATATAAATTTCAAATGGACTGTTAGTTATTGTTTTATTGAATTAATTATCTTATATTTAAATTACACTATAAATTATATAATCATTACATTTTGTGGACAAACTTTTTATGATTAAACAAAATGGAGGAACCGGTGGCCGAGTACTCACATCCGGGCCATTGACACACATATGGGCGCACATTGTTGTGGATATTCATGTGATCTTTCAATCGGAGTTTATTTGCATAACTTTTACCACAATCGGGCCAAACGCACACATGTGGTCGCTCTCCCGTATGCTTGAGTTTATGATAACTTAAATAAGTTCCCGAATACTCACATCCGGGCCAATCNCAAACGCACACATGTGGTCGCTCTCCCGTATGCTTGAGTTTATGATAACTTAAATAAGTTCCCGAATACTCACATCCGGGCCAATCGCACCGTTGCTTTCGTTGCGGTTTATATTTTTTACGTTTCCTATTGTGGACAGAGATCTGATGTTTGAGGCGTTCATAGCTATGGAAAAACATATCATTACACCCGTCGGCGCCGCACCGGATCGTCGGTTCGCTTAGATGTACGCGCGAGTGTTGCGCCAGATCTTTGGCCAATTTGAACGCCTTTCCGCACCCCTCGACCGGGCATTCAGTCACCGGTCTGTCCGTCAAATGGGAGACCATATGTGACTTTAGGGCCCATATAGTAAGGCCCGCGTACTCGCAGTCTTTGTAATCACACTTGAATTTCTTGTCATTTTTGTGGACAACTAAATGATTGTCGAGTCTATCCTTATGAGTGAATATCTTATCGCATCCATTATAATGGCATTTAAATCGGGGTTCGCTGTGAATGTTATATAAATGTTGGTTAAATAGTTTACGCGTTTCCAATGCCTTCTGGCACTCAATTCCCGGACACTTCCAGATCTTTGTTTTCGGATCAAAGCATCGCTTTCTCTCCCATGTGTTTAGTGTAAAGGCTTTCGTGTATTGTATCAGTGGTTCCGCTACTTTGAATTCATTGTCCGTCGAGTGTGTCTTTAGATGTAGTTTCAAATACCTATCGCTAACGGCTTTAGACTCACAGCCATTGTGTGGACAATGAAATGGTTTCGCCTTTTTGTGTCCCAATAGATGTAAATTAAAACCGTTTTTTGATTTCAACACATTCTCACAGCCTATGTATTCACAAACGTATTGTCCATCGCTGTGAACGGACCGCAAATGTTGCTTAAACTGGGCATCCGTTTTGCAACTCTTGTGGCACTCATTTATGGGACAAATGAATGCATTTTTCTTCAAATCATAGCATTTCTTCCTTTCGGTGACATTTTGTAGCAATACTTCAGACACCGATTGATTTGAGTGCCGTCTCTTCAGATGTAGATTGAAATAGTAATCATCAATGGCTTCGTATTCGCAGCCATTGTGTGGACAACGAAATGATTTAACAGTTTTGTGTAACAATTGATGTACTCTTAAGGCAGACCTTGTAGTATAGCCTTTACCACAGCCCTCATGAGTGCACAAGAATTGTCTTTCGCCGTGAACTGCTATTACGTGACCGCGAAATTGTAAATCCGTTTCGTAACTCTTGTGGCACTTATTTATGGGACAAATGAATGCATTATTGATTTTATTAAAGCATTTCCTTCTTCTAGTCTTATTTTGTGCCAACAATTGAGACATCGATTGCTTTGATGGCATTTCCATCGAGTCTTCACTACTCTTTCTATTCATACCTTTGTTTACCATCTCTTGTGATGATTGAGATGTCGATGCCTTTGAAGTGCTGTTTATTAATGTCTGCATTTCATCAGTCATTAAATATAATGAATATTTATTGTCAAACATGTCTTCATTCACGCCATCGCTGTTATCATCAATACTTTGATTCACTTTTTGTGATTCATATCTTTGTCTCATTTGTTGATCATTTGATGATCTCTTCAGTCGGTCTTTAAATTCAGTCTTAATGTTGAGGACAACCGATCCATACGTTTCTTCACTCAATTGATCCAAAGTTTGAGATAATGTTTGGAAGTGTTTATTGTCTTCCGAATCGATAAGTGTTTCATATTTTGAGTGAATTTTAATTAAATGTGTTTTCATTTCATTCAAACATTGAATTTCATGTAAAAGTCTATTGTTTTCATTCATTAATTCATCCAAAATATCGTTTATATAAATCATTGAATCCATAATTGAATTCAAAAACACATTTAAAACTAATTCACAATTTATTTGAATACAAATTAAGTGCAAAACTAAACAACAATTGAATCACAAAAATGTAAACAAAACTCAAATCCAATGAGAATTGAAGGGAATGTCTATTCATTACGTAAACACTTTATAATACATTTCAATCTTAATAATTGAAAAAAGTTACCAAATCTACTTATATTCGCGCTCATAAAATAATGTTTTGTGAATGGCTTTTTGTCTCTCACACTCACTTTGATTGGCTCTTTGTCTAACTCAGACTTTTTGACTCTCACTCACTCGCTCTCTCCCTTTCTCCTACCCCTCATTTGTATTGAGTGAGTATTGGACTCATATATACACACAATAACATAGATTTCATAGATATAAAGGGATTAAAGTTTTGAGCTACATCCGGTGTATTGTTTTGATGAACAAATGCAAAATACATTCTACACACGATAAAATATACAATATGCAATAATGTATATGTAAAATATATTATATTGTTTATAATATCAATGTGTGTTTGTATTGATCAGTGCAGTCAGAGTACATGCATTATATGCACAAAACTTATCAGTTTTTACATCAGTGATAAAAGTATTGTAGTATTGTACTTTAGTATTGAAGTTAATTAGCGGTACATTTGTTTCAAAAGCATGTGTATTGTTGGAGTAATATAAACACTAAGGTTGGTAAATTACAAAGATTTTTTTGAAGCCAAGTAATTTACATTGTAAAATACAAAAATGCACATAATTTACATGTTTTTTACTTACTATGGGAAAAAAGTAACAGTTTATAAATTAAAATTAAGCTATTTAATTGTATTATTTACACTAATTATACATGTTAGAACATTTTAAATCTTATTCACCATTAATTATTATGTATTTTACAATCAAATTAATTGTTTCGAAATTTATACATCTTATTAAATTTGTATACAGTAAAACCCGATAAGAAAGTTATATTTTATACGAGTTGATGATTCAATCATTGATTTTCGGCAAAAATGCATCAATATTTGTCATTCATTTTTGTAAAATAGCCCAAAACAATTGATTTAGTTTTGATTTTCTGATTTTAATCGATTATTATTTTTATAAGAACGTATTTTACAAAATGAAAAATTTGTGTACGTAAAATACACTGTAAAATACAACGTAAATTACGTACGTAAAATACGTGGTTTGTCATGTTGCCAACCCTAATACACACATAATTATCTATCAATGAAACACATATATTTGTATTGCTTTTAATGCTCCATTTATGTCCAAAAAATACTACAGTATATGTCTAAAAATTTAGTTTTTATAGTTATTTTGTGAATTTAATATTGCAAATGATTTTTGAGATTTCAGTGGGCGTGGGAGGGGCGGGGGTACCGGGAATTGCCTAGTAATGATTAAAATTATTTCTCATAATTTATAATGAAATTAATTAAATAATTTGAAAATTTATATTTAAAAATTCAATTAATATAATTTATTATATGTTTTAAAATCAATTTTTAATTATACAAATCGCAAGCCTTTTATAAGTTTGAGTCTTAATTATAAGAACCGATCGGACAATACAAACGTATAAAACATTTAATTACAAAATGAAATTAAAACTTTAATTTATAAAAATGTAAAATTCATATTCAATTAGATATTCAGTGTTTAATTAATTTCATCAAATGATTAACAGTAATAGTAATGGCGTCCAAACCGGTGGTCAACTCGAGTGATCACTTCCTCCACAGACATCGTCTCATTTCAATACAAGTTATGCTTTATATTTAATATTCCTGTTATTCTTGGATGTCCTGCAGTGACAATCAGTCCACTCACACACACATACGGCTTAATATCAGTTAAACAACTGTTTGTCTTAAAGACTTTGACCACAGCTTTCATATGGTATTGATATTTATGTTATGCCTTAGAGTGAGAGTAATTCAAGTGTTGATGAAAGTGACGATCCGTTCGGAAACTCTTGTGGCACTCATTTATGGGACAAATGAACGCATTTCGGGTCAAATCAAACCAAACCTCTCTTTCGGACGCATTTTGTTCCAGGAATCGAGACATCCATTGATTGGCTGGCATTGACTCTTCCACTGACTCTTCATTACTGTTTCCAAACATATCTTCAGTTACCATCTCTTTTGATGATTGAGTTGTCATTGGATCTGATGTGATGTTCACTATTGATTGCATTTCTATATTCATTGAACTCATATCTGTATTCATCGGTTCCACAAAACTATCTCCCGATCTTTGCATTGATCCCAACTCCAGACCATTGCTGTCATACGAGTTGTCAATTATGTCTTCATTCAACCCTTGATTGGAGGACTGATTGCAAGGGTCGGTCGGGTAGTGACCGGTCTGTACGGACCCGTGTTGTGTCCGCTGGTGTGAATCCAAAGCATAGTATGACGTGAATGTTTGCGGACAGTCGTCGACACCACACGTGAACACTATGTCTACGGAGTGTGTCTTCATATGTGAACTAAAACCTATGTCACTGTCTGTTTGATAATCACAGTCATTGAAAACACATTTAAACACTTTATCCGTAAAATGTTTTTTCAAATGAATTTTCAAATAGTGATTACTAACTGTTTTATATTCACAGCCATTGTGTCGACAATGATATGATTTGATAGTTTTGTGTGTAAATGAATGTTGTTTCAGATTAGAGCGTCTCTTAAAGCGTTTACCACAGCCCTCATGAGTGCACACGTATTGTCTTTCGCCGTGAGAATGATATAAATGACTATAAAAATTGTTATCCTTTTGGAAACTCTTGTGGCACTCATTTATGGGACAAATGAACGCTTTTTTGGTTAAATCAAAGCATTTCTTTCTTTTATATTTATCTTGTAATAAGAATTGAGACATCGATTGTCTTTCACCACTCATTTCACACATTTCTTCGTTAATCACTTCAAGTGGTGATGACTGAGATGTCAGTGACTCGGAAGTGGTGTTCAATATTGTTTGCATCTCAACAGTTGTTAAACAATTTTCTCTATTCATCGGTTCCACAGAATAACCTTCGGGTTCTTCTTTAATATCTAATCCCAAATCCAAACCATTGCTGTCATTCATGTTGTGAATGGCTTTCACCACTCCGTTGTTGTCATTCATTGTTTGTATCACTTCTTGTGTCTCTGTTTTCCCCTTCCATTCAAACCATTGTTTTCCTCTGCGATAACTATACGTCCGTCGGTTGTGAACCGACACCCGATGTCTCAGGCGTTGGGAAAACGTATAAAACATTTCATTACAGCCTTTGGTCCCACACTTGATGTCCGGTCCGGACCCGTGTGTCAAACGGTGGACATTCAACTCATTCTTCGACTTAAATGCCATCTGACAGTCACTAACAGGACATGTGTTCACTCTATCTGTTGAGTGTGTCTTCAGATGTGATGTCAATAACTTATTGTTAACGCATTTATATTGACAGCCATTACGCGGACAATGAAACGGCTGTTTTGGATGTCTCTTCAGATGTAGTTTCAAATTCCTATCACTACTGGTATTGTATTGACACCAATTGTGCGGACATTGAAACGACTTAATCTTGTTATGACTTATCAAATGTATAGTTAAGTTGTTTTTCAATGTAAACGCTTTGCCACAGTCTTCGTAGTGACAGACATATTGTCTTTTGCTGTGAACGGCAGCCAAATGTCTGTAAAACTTGTCGTCACTTCCAGAACTCTTTTGGCACTTATTTATGAGATTCATGAATGCATTTGTGGTTAAATTAAAGCATTTCTTTCTTTCGGACTTATTTTGACGCAAGAATTCAGACATCGATCGCATTTCCATCGACTCTTCACTACTGTTTATCATCTCTTTTGGTCCACTTGTTCTGTGGGTTAATGAATGTCGCGCTAAACCATTGGTTGTATTAAACGCTTTATAACAGTCTTTGTATTTACAAATGTATAGGTTTTTGGCGTGAATTGTCTTCAAGTGGTCCCGAAACTGACCACTCGTTGGGTAACTCTCGCGGCACTCATTCACCGGACAATTGAATGTATTTGTCGTAAAACTAAAACATTTCAATCTTTCGGATCTGTTTTGTATGAGTAATGCAACCAATGATAGCTTTGATGTCATATTTGTGGTAACGCTTTGTCGAGTCCTTCCACTCATGTCTTTGTTTACCACTCGTTGTGATGATAGAGATGTCGAGGGCTTTGAAAACGGGAATAATGTTTGCATATTAGTTGGTAATACACTTCTCATTGTATTTATCGGTTCCACATAATTATCTTCATGTCCTTCATTGACATCTGGTATCAAAACCACATCATTGCTGTCATCCAAGTCTTCAGCCATCACTTCATTGTCACCAGTCATTTGAATCACTTCTTGTGTTTCATCGGTTGGAGTTTTGTGCATAATTTTCATATGATTTTTCAAAGAGATGTGATTAAAGCTATGAAAATCACATCCATTGACATCACATCTAAACTGTTTGTCAGTCGAGTCTATCATCTGATTATCACTCAAATATTTAGAGTGACTCGTATT